AGGCCCATTACCAAGGACAGAAAAAGGTAATGAATACGCGATAACACTAATTTGCGACCTTACCAAATATTTAGTGACAATTCCGGTCACAGATAAAAGTGCTAAAACCGTAGCCAAGGCAATCTTCGAGAACTTCATGCTAAACTACGGGCCCATGAAAACACTTGTAAAGGACCAAGGAACCAAATACAAGAATGCACTAATGAACGATTTATGTAAGTACCTCAAAATTGACAATATAACATCAACAGCCCACCACCGTCAGACACTCGGCACGGTGGAACGCAACCACCGAACGTTCAATGAGTACATCCGTTCATATATATCGCCTGAATTGAATGATTGGGATATTTGGATAAAATATTTCCAATATTGTTTTAACACAACACCTTCCACAACACACAATTACTGTCCTTATGAATTAGTATTTGCAAGGCGACCAACCCAATTAACAGATTGCAAGAAAAACATTGAGCCACTATATAACATAGACGACTACGCTAAAGAAACCAAATATAGATTAGATATAGCATACGCGCGCGCTAGGTTACTATTAGATAAGGAAAAAGAAAAACAAAAAATAAATTGCGACAGGAAAACTAACAATTTACCACTAGTAGTAGGCAACCTAGTACTCCTAAGAAATGAAGTAGGGCATAAGTTACAGAATAAGTATTTAGGACCGTATAAGGTCATAGAAATTAAGGATAATAATAATATTAAAATAATAGACAATAAAAATAAAACTCAAATCACACACTAAAAATAGGTTAAAATTATATCACGAAACTTCATGAGTTACCTAAGTGTAAGGCGCCTACACTAACAAAATATAAATATAAGCTACACTAACAAAATATAAATATAAGCTACACTAACAAAATATAAATATAAGCTACACTAACAAAATATAAATATATGTACACTATAAGACTACGGTAGAGGCAATAACATCGATAATTGATAAACCCAAGAATGATCATTCATTGTTAAAGATCATTTTTCCCAAGAGGAAAGGTGTAGTATTATCGATCAGTCGCACTCTACCGTAGTCTACAAGTTATTGCTAAGTATACAATTTCCTACTAACCTAGTTAAGGTAGTGGAATTTTAGTAATAAGCAATTAATATATTAGTAGTAAGCTATAACCTACTTTAAGTTATATTAATTGCTTAAGTTAGCATTAATTTAGTTTCTATAAAAGATACTGACCATACTTCAGTTAGGTCAGAATAATAGTAGGAATAATAGTAAGATAGTGAAATACTAAGTGTTGTGTAAAAGCATTCGTAATAAAGAATTACAATAACGAACATTTAATTGTGTTTTCACTACATAATATTAAATTTATTTACCTTTGAAAAATTTTTGCTTGTGATTCGATTCACCAAAATTTGACAGGATTTTATCGATAATATTAGGGTAGCCACAATCAAACACATGTAATTCACACCTAACTTTCTTTGCATCGTTGGAACTCATGTATCTGTTTTATGATGCTATGATTTGAAAATAATTTATGATATTATTATGGAGTATTATAATCATACTCCAAAGTCTAAATGGAAATGGAAGAGACATACATTACAAGATGGAACACAATAAATGGTGGATAAACACCCCAAATACAAAAGAAAATAATTATATATCACTTATCTAATATACGAGCGACGACTTCCAGTAATCAAGTTAAGGGATAAATCGTCAATTGCAACCGGTAATGTGAAAGCACAGAGTAATGTTAGTCAAGAAAGAAGTAATTATAATTTACGTAGTTGTTACATTAACAAGTACATTTGTCCAAGTGTTAACAGCTAAATGGGAGAAATGAGAAGATCAACAAAAAATTGACTACTTCAGTAAGCATGGTGACGATGGATTAAAATCACTCAATCCAACAACTCTTAATATATGGTGCTTCCAACAGGGGCAATCATAATGTGTTGCCAGAAAGTGCAAATGGACTGGGGGTTATTTATTTATTTATTTATTCTACTTATACATGAAACTCAACTAACACAAATTGACAGTCGAAATCAATTAACTCCTAAAGTAAATCGTAAATTGATTAATATTAAATTGATATAGAACCACTAAAATATCAATAAAATAAGCATTGACAAATGGGAAATAACGCCAATATAATCGTAGAAGATTTTGTGTTTAGATCATGTACAGAGATACTTAGAGCTTTCCATTTATCACTAAGAAGAATTGCAAGGGAATGGTATTCGCTGTTTAAGAAAACGAACATCATAGAAAAGTGGGCAGCGCTCAAACCTGCCTTTATTAGTTGGTTTAAAATTTCTCGATCGCCTTTCGGAATAATGAGAAATCTAATACACCGAATTTATTTCACAACATTCGTCGTAACACAAAGCGAAAGAAACTACTTCAATATACATCCTCGCAGTTGGAAAATCAAGCAAATAGTTTCGGAGGTAATCTCTACGGAGACAAGCGAAACTTCCACTTCGCTACTGCGATACTTTCGGCATGGTCACTACAGGTCAGCGATCGGTAATCTGCTAAGGCCTACAACTTCAAAGTCAAGAGTAAGCATAGCACCGGCGGTGTACATGCGCTCCTCATAAGTCATTCATTCCAATTTTTCCCAGGACGTATTGAGAAGCCGGTTTGGAAATGCGAAACTTCAATAATATAATATATATGTACACATTGTTTGCTAATATTACAGGGTGTTACGAAAATATACACATTGGTTAGCATTCCGTAATTAAGCTCGGTATTTAAAAAGAAATTGTACTTACTTTCACCAAATA